CAGACAGACAGACAGACAGACAGACAGACAGACAGACAGACAGACAGACAGACAGACAGCTAGATGATGATAGGTAGAATGAAGTATACACATACGAACAACAAGCTTTCCCCCCAAAAAATTCTATGGTACTTTTAATAAGCTTATCTGTTTTGAATTATTTGATAAGAAGGAGCATATACAGATTTTTAATATCTTGGGGGTTGCAAAAATTCACATGAATGTTAGAAAACAGCAAAGTATCATACATGTTGAATGTCTCTGGCGTTGTCTATTGATTATATGGATTTTACAGCCCAAATCTTGTAGAATTGTACAGATACGATTACATTGTCCTAATCCAGCCACTATGATTCAGAATGTTTTCTGGATCTACAAAATAAAGTTAATTGAATAAACTGCAGTTCACCATGACAATGTGATCTGAATGTATAATAGTGGCCAAAATTGTGGAAACCTTTTAGGAAAAGTGTACAGTATTTTTGAGGTTTGATGGCTAATAACACCACTTTCTTTTGTTGTAGTAGTACCATAAAATTACACATCAATGGCAAGATAATTTAATCAAGAATGTAAAGCAATAATGTTTATGAAGGGTTTGATATTAGAATAGCAGTAATAAAGAAGGAAAGTGAAACACATAGAAAAAACAAAATATACAAAAATTATCACCATACAAAAACGTTATATACAAAAATTATCACTCTGTCAGTTAATATTTAGTTGGGTAACCTTTAGCATGAATTAGGGCCTTACAATGTCTTCCCATAGAGTGAACCAAGTCTTTTAGTTCTGCAGCTGTTAGAATGTGAAACCAAGATTGAATGATTGCTTCTATTAACTGGGTTTTATTGCTGGTCTATCTGGCTATAAATTTTCATAGAATAATTGAACAAACTTTGTTGCATTACATTCTCAATTAAAACATCTTTCCATTGATATATAATTTTATGGTACTGATTTAAAAAAAGTAGTGTTATTAGCCATCGAACCATAAAAATACTGCATACTTTTCCCAAAAGGTTTCCACAATTTTGGCCACTACCATAGAATATTTTTCATGCAAATGTAGTTTCTCCTTCAGAACAACCATAGGCCACTTCAGTGGAATCAACACCTGTTTTCCCCACAGTATCTGAAAAGCAGCTACTTTGGGATATTAGGAGAAATTAATAAATGGATGTAATTCAAGCCATTTGCAATTATTTAAAGTGTCCAGCTGAAAACTATCTTTTAATAGATGTTTACAGAAGACATTAGCAGTTATCTTTGCTGAACTACTGGCAGCTGTTTGTTAGTTGTTAGTGCAAGATTGGTGCCAGAATTAAACTATAGCTAACCCTTAAGATTGTGATTGTAGACTTGAGCGGATCAGTTGCAAAGTAGGGACATTCATGCTGTTCTACAGGCTGTGAGATTATATCAGATGGGCCATGGTAGCATTCTGTAATGAAAATCAACCCTTCAAAATAAGATCTGCTTAGACTTCTAAATAACCTTTCTGGACTGTTTCCAGCAGATTGGCAGAATCAGAAGAAATTTAGTTCTTATTTATGTGAAAGATATAACACATATTTTTTAACCTAAAGTAGCTTTGGAATATCCCCTTTAATTCTGAATCAATTTCTTAATCTGTACAAAAACTCTTCTTAAAAGGTAGCACATGCTGTAGACAATAGGGTGTGTTTCCTCAGCACATCATCTTTACTATCCCTTGACAGCCCCTTATAATCCCAAACTGAATTGGTGGTTTTTAAGATATTTACTATTGAGATTGTGGACTTGGGACATTTTAAGTTTGACCTCCCCCATATATAATCAAAAAGAATTGCTTTTGGTGAATCAAGCTATGCTAGACATCACTTAAGTTTATTGTGTGAACTTACCTTAGTTCAAATCCAGTCAAGTAGTTGTTTGGTAAACTATGGGATTAAATTAACCGTGTGCAAATAGATTTATCTATAGATTTATGAATTTAAGGAGATCAGGTTTGTAAAGAATAATAAAGTAATAACAAAGTAGACTTGTGAAAAAGAATTTTTCTTATTACTCCTAAAATCTCTTCTAGGTAAGCAGTAAAGAAAGTGATATAAATACTGAAAATGTTTTCCCCTTTGTTAATTGCAAATTATCAATAGAATATAAGTAAATAGAAATGTATGTATAATAGTACCTTGTGTGTGGGTAGGAAGTAGCCTCTGAAATCTTTTCTGATGTATACTACAACCCATTCCATTTCTCTTCCATTCAGTCTTCTTCTAGATAGGACTTCTGTTTTTTTCAGCTACATTCTATGGTCTTATTAAGACCCCAGCTTGTAAAGTACTTAATAGCATACTTATTTAATATCAAAATTTAATATCAGTATAATTTTTGATATTCTTTAAAATAAGGAATACATGCTAAAACTGAATAGATATTTTCTCTTCCTTCCAGGCCAGCCTCGTAATCAGAGTGTGATGGATAGATTGAGATTCCAGACATTAAGATAGCATTTGTTAGGAATTTATCTCAGAATATTGATAAATTAAAAGTTGCCTTTGAATGTACACTCAATGTTTTCTTATTATATTTAAGTACAACTCGTTACTGCAACTGGGTATTAAGGCATCATAGCTCAACTTCTCCCTTAGAAAAATTGAAAATAACCTTTCTATTTTAGAGATTATCCTAAACTATTCCAGCCAAAGGGCAAGCAATCGTTATTTAACCATGTAAACAAAGTACTTTATACATGCTTAGATAAATATATGTTAATGTTATTATTGCTATTCTTACTTTTAATAGTAGGTTCTGAGATAGAGTTTAATTTTTTAAAACTTTGCAATATATTTGTAAGCAGCTGTTTGCAAATCCTGATGAGCTTCTCAATAGAATATGCGTTTTAGCAATAAATAGTGATGAATGTATTTAGTTTCTATGCATGATGATAATAGCAAATTTCAGTCCTACTGAGAAAGGTATTGGATAACTTTTTATCTCCACATTCTCCATCTAGCTTCTTCTCTCCCCAGTTCCCTAACAACTGTTTATATTATTCTAATTTGAGAAGAACCAGTGGTGGATCTCCTGTATCCTATGTGGTTTGGATCAAAATCTCACCCCTTATCACTATCCTCTTCCACTCACTTGAATTCTGGATTGAGGTCGGGTTTGAGGCCATAGAACGAAGAGGAGAGTGTAACCATCCAGGTGGGCAAGAATTTTCCATCTTCACATTCCAGGAAAGGTGGGGACCATTTGATATAGCCCTGATCCATCACATAACTATCCCCTTGGCTCCATTTGGGGGTGTCTAGCGTCTTAAGGTCATTGCTGAGAATTCTCTTATAAAGCGGTGGAGTCCGTTGTAACCTAAAGAAATTGTACCACTCATTTTCCCAAGTTAGATTCCTTAGATTCTCTGAAAAGGCAGAAAGATCTTGAAGTAAGATCTCATTATTCCCCTTCGTGGCTTGAAGTATCAACTGGGGCTTGGAAGACAAAGGATGAGCATCAAAAGTCAATATGGCTCGGTAAACTTGAGAATCCCCTTCTATAACACTTCTCACCAAGGCATGGTACCATTCTACATCCTCTTTCACACTGGATTCCCGAATGTCATTAGTCTGAAAGACCATATTGAGGAAATTGGTGGCATGGGTCAAGGTGTCAGTAGCACTGCGTAGATAGGAATGTAAGGCTGGTGGAGGGCGAGAGTCCTTCACTAAAGCCCTCATTTCAAATCTCTGGGTACAGTTGGCTTGTGAGAGACTCAGGGCATCTCCAGAGTACAGGAAGGCCATTGCTGGCTCCGATCCCTCAGGTTCAGCCTTATTCAAATTAAGGGTAGGCACCCAAGTGAAAGCTGAGACCAAAAAAGATGAAGATGAAGGCATCCACTCCTTCGTTTTTGGTGTCCTGGCTTTGAGTGGAGCTGATTGCTGTTGTTGTTGGAAGATTTCAGCTGCCTGTAAGAGTTTGAGATAGAAGCACCAAAGAAGAAGTCCAAGACGACAAGTCTCCATGGTTTAGCAAAAGGTGTAGAAAATACCTGTGTCATCCAGTTGAAATCATTTCAACCATGGAAAAGCCCTCTTGAGAACTCCTGATGTGTTTGATGGAAATGTCGAGATGATCAGAAAGTAGAGGAATAAAGCCATGAGAAGCGAAGAAGGAGCCAGTCAATCTGTAAAATGAATGTCCCCAGAGAACAGTGTCACATTTGCTGAATATCCTGCCTCCTTTTATAATTTGCAGGAGTTTCTCATTGTCTCCCACCCTCTTATTTTTTGCTGTCCCTTATATCTTCCCTCCCTGACTGGTGATGGAGCAGACGTCACCACAATATGAGCAGCTGCTGGCACTTCCCCCCCTCTCCTTTCCCTCCCTGACTACTATTATATGCATAGGATTTTAAATCTCTGCAGATCCACATACACATCCACATACACAAACATGCTAAGAGCTCAGTCAACAGCCTTATTTGCTAATGCTTGAAATGGAAACATCCTGTTTCAGGCCAGAAAGAGGGAAAGGGAGGGAGGGAAGAAAGATGGGAAGATAATAGAATCTGTCTCTCAGTCTATCTCTATCTCACTTTACTTCCATTAGGGAATCTGGATCTGACAGTAATACAAGCAACCAAATCCTGCATGGAGTACCATGGCAACAGGAAATTTGTCTTCCCACCTCACTCTTCTCTTCCCTTTCTCTCCTTCCCCTCCTTTATTTTTCCTCCCTTCCATTCATCAGCTTGACTAACACCACGATATTCATTTATAAGGTCACCTACTGCCTACTGATGTTCCTATAATGCTGCTAAATTTAATTAACTGTTTACGGACAAGGAGTGTGGAAAAGAACAGGAGGAAGAGAAGGGGAACAAGGACTATTGTTAACTACATACTGAAATAATTCAAGAATGTAGACAGAAAATGAAGAGTGAAAAGAGCAATTCCAAGGAGTGCGATACAAACAGTTTAAGACCAGTCTATATCAGAATTCAGTCCTACAGAGACTTCCCAGTACCACAGCTTAGTTTTGGATCAATTCACTTTGGGACTCATCAAAAGCAATAGACAGACAGATAATAGAAATATAGATATAGAGAGCGATAAAAATGACCACCGCTGTATATATACATAGTTAATTTTCCATAGTATATAATTATACTGTACTTTTGTTCAATCTTGAATTACTGTTTTGTTTTACTGTTTTTCATATGAATATAAGAATGTAATTGAGAGCTATATTTCTTGGCATGTTGCAATTGCTATAATTGATGAGTTATTTATTTTATTTTATTCAATAATTTATTTAATAATTGAAAAAAATAAAATAATAGTAATTCACAACATAGCTGTTGGATTGGATTACAATTCAAGCATCTTGTTTTGGTAAATTAACCTCTATCAAAATACAAATACCATTGCTGGCTCTACTTTGGGGGCTGTTGTCATATATAAGTAGTTGGGTGCCAATGAGGGAAGACAACTTTTATCAGACCAATAGCAGTCTGCAGTTTTGAACTTTAAAAAAAAAATCTAAGTTGTTCTAAATGGCTTAGATCCTGCCCATCTGAGGGACTGCTTCTTCCGTTATGAATTATGCAGCAACTGAGATCTGCCTGAGAAGTCCTTTTGAAGATGCTGCTCTGTATCAGAAAGTCACTTCTGGCAGGTAAGGGAGACCTTCTCATTCTTCATTCGGTGTGATGTACTTCTCAAGGCACCGGTGATCTTATTCTCTCAGCATTTTGAAGAATTGTAAAGACTACATTCCTTTCACTAGGCTTTTAAGGTTAATCCACTTATTTACTTATTTTTACAAATTTGGTATTTTTTCTACTCTTCATTTTAATTAATAATGATTGCCTTGAGGCCTTGCTTAAATGGAAAGATAGGTTGTAAATCAAATAAACAAATGAGCAAACACTGCCTACATCATAAGAGTAGGATTAAGGGCAAAGAATTTGGCAGCGCTGAGTGGCAACAGAGAAACACAAAGCAAATGGCTCAGATATGGAACAGTCAAGAAATACCCCAGAGACCAGCAATTAGTAGAGCAGCTGTGAAGGCCTTGGAAAAGATAATTCAGAAGCTGTGATATGTCTAAACATACAAAGAATAGTGCAACAAATGGAATTCCATGTTATACTCTATGGAAGTGAAAAGTGGACTTTGAAAAAACAGGATAGAAAGAATGTTGATAGGTCTCGACTCCAAAGGACACCCTGGACAGCCATGAAAACTAACAATGGATTACTGAACAAATCTCCCCATGTTTTTAATTTGAAACACAAATGAACAGGCTGAAATTAGCCTACTTTGGACAGATTATGCAAAGATCTAGCTCTCTGAAGAAGCGCTGGGAAAGATGGAAGGAAAGACTAGAAGAAAATGACCACCAGCAGGGTGGATCGACTCAGTTATATCAGCAATGAGTAAACCACTGGAAGATCTAGAGGGCCAGATCGGGGACAGATTGTAATGGGAAAAAATCTATCTGTGTGATCACTAAAATCCACACTAACTTGATGGCACATAATCAATGAATGGATGAATGAATGAATAAAAGGCTGTAACAAAGAGAATAAATTTTAAATCTCATTGAGCGTGACAAGGGCATGTTTCTTGATCCAGAATGCTCTTTCGAATTCCCCACATTGCTGCTAGGTTTATTTATTTTATAGGCTGTGATTACATAACATGGTGAATTGTAAAGCTCTGTTAATGACTACAAATGTCACCAGGTTACTTCCCATCATGCATAGCTCTTTAAATAAGATCTGCTGTTACTGTGTTGTGTACACCTAAATGAATACTATTTTGGAGAACTACAAATTAGACATCGTATTATATAACAGACCTTAGAGGCAAATGCTTCCAGACTTCCAAGATAGACATATACCTGTTAATTTAAGTATGTTATTCTTCTAGATCAACTCAAAGGATTGCAGTTGGATAGCACAGTGTTATGCTGGCTCACTTCCCTTTCCTGAGATTAATTCCAGTCAGTGGTGATTGGGAAGGAGAGATTCCACCCTCAATCCATCTTATGCCTCAGGGTTTGGTGCTCTTCTCTCTCCTATTTAACATCTGAAATTGTGAGTGAGCTCATTGGTCAGATGGGGTTAAGTATCATCAGTATACTGATAATATCCAATTGTACTACTCTTCCCCGGTAAATGCTGTGGAAGTCCTTTCCCAGTGCTTGGAGGCTGTGAGAGTTTGAATGGGGAATAAAAGGCTTCAACATGACTCTGGAGAAACTTAGTGGCTTTATCTTTGGGGGCCCTTTAGAATCTTGCTTTCTGCCCAAGGAGTAGGTGATAATCATGGCTAGGAGGATCTTTGCACAATTTTAACTGTGCAACTGGTGCACCTCTTCCTGGATCCAGGGCCCTACTCAAGGCCACTCATGCCCTGGTCGCCTCCTGCTCAGACTATTACAATGTGCTTTACATGGGGCTATCCATGAGGGGTATGTGAAAACTTCAGTTATGTGTGTCTCAGATGGAATACACATTACATTTTTCCTATGCGAACTGCATATTTGTTTCTGGGTACAATTCAAGGTACTGGTGTTGACTTTTAAAGTCCACATGGCATGCAATTGAGTTATTTGAGGAACTGCCTCTTCCCAATTTCATCTGCCCTCCCCACCAGATCCAATAGAATGGGCTTTAGGGAATTTCATTTGGAGCATCCTAGGTGGCAGGTCTTTTCGTTCAGATGGCTTGCACTATGAAATCTTCTCTCTTCAGGGATGAAGTGGGTGGACCTCACGATCACTCCTGAGCTTTCAAAGGTCTCTCAAGAATTGGTTATGCCAGCAGGCCTGGGAACTCCAAGGAGTACATTAATTAGTAAGGAGTCTCCCTTACTGTTAATATTCATCTGCCTATCAGTTTCTTTTTTCTTAGTTTTGTTTTTAATGTCTTTAATACTGTTTAACAATTACAGTATAATGGCTTTAGATAATGATTTTTTTAAATATTTCTATATTTCTATCTTTATTGGATTGTTGTAAGCTGCTCAGGCTGCTTTCTGTTAGATGAGCAGCCATATAATTCTGATAACTAAATAAATATTGAACTTTCAGCTTCGCTGTAGTTCAGCTATAGTTCTAACTTGTAGTAAAAATGGCTAATAGAAAAAAGAGGTAAGGGCAAGAGGCATCATCTCTAAGGCAATTGAAAGTTTCGCTTTTTCTGTTTAACCATCAATATTTCTCCTAAAGCTTATCTCCAGATTTATCCAAACATTCTGATCTAGGAAAATGAATTGCATTTAGTGAAATCCATCCCATTAACCTGAGACAGCTGCAGAACTAGTGGGCTAGGATTATTGTCTTCTCATCTGCAGTTACATTTCTACGGTATTATACAAAGATTAATCATAATTATGCTAGGTATTACACTGTTTACCAAAAGCTACTGGCTTCTGGCTTCCATTTGCAAAACAAAAACTTGTACACACATCTCATCATATTACTCCTGTTTTCAGTGCACATAAGAACTGTCACAACCTACCACTTATCACTTGATATGTGCTTTGGATGAGAATTACATTAGCAAATTCCATTGCTTCTTGTTAAAAGCATATTACAGCTCAACCAAGTGCCGAATTCCAGTCAAAAGGGAAGTGTTATGATAGAAATATTAAAATGCTTAGGTTTGTGTTTGAATGAATGTGTTAGAAAGAAAAATGTATAATAACAACTTATACATTAGTAAGTTCACACAATCTATTATGCATTACTGGAGTAATCCTTATAACAGCTTGACAGAGTACAAAATTGTATTTTTTTCTGCGGATTATTTTTGGTTGGGTTGATTTTCCAGGTTGCATACTTTTAAAGATGGGATTGAAGCCAATCAGAGTCAGATCTTCCTGAGCATTTTAAATGATAGGTTGCAAATGATTCTGACATTTTTCCAAGTGATACATTGGCTTTAGTCTGTCTTGCTATAAAATATATATTTATTAATATGTAAAATTCCGTTCTGATAAAACTTTATAGAAATTTTATTAAAGGTTATAATTGCAACTGGGCAATTATGAACAATACAAACTAAAAGTGGCTTCCCAATTTCATCACATGTATACTCAATTTTAATAACTTACCACCTTCTCTTAAAATGCAACAAATGGTCTCTTCCCACATCCCATCTCTTCTCTATAAATGAATACATTGAAGTAGTCCTTGATGTACGACGACAGCTGAGCCCAAAATTTCAGTTGATAAGCAAGACGGTTGTTAAGTGAGGTTTTGACCCATTTAATGATTTTTTTTCTTCTCGCGGTTGTTAAGTGAACCATTGCAATTATTAAGTTAGTAACATGGTTAAGTGGCTTCCCCATTGACTTTGCTTGTCAACTGGCATGGACTTATGATGATCAAAGTGTTCAAGAGTCATGTGATCACCTTTCGCAACCTTCTGATCGGCAAAGTCAATGGAGAAGCCGGATTTACTTAACAATCATGTTACTAACTCAGCAGCTGCAATGATTCACTTAACAACTGTGACAAGAAATATCCTAAAATAGGACAAAACTCACTTAACCATCTTCTGGTTTTCGGTGAATGATAAGTGAAAGCCAGCCTCTCTCAGAAAACAATGTCAGTTACTTGGTCTAGTCAGACAAAATGTTCCAGCTATGACATTATATGTCCAGTTAGTAAATCTTATAATTACATAATATTGAATTTCTTCCTAAAGAGATTTAGTTGAAAAGTGCTGCCCCTATAGTTATTTATATAATGTTGTTGCACTGTTATATAAAAAGGATTACTGCTAATCCTTGGTTAACAACAGCAATTGGGACTGAAATTGCTGTCGCTAAGCAACAGGGTCACAATCTCCCATGACCATTTGTAATTGCTGTTCCTGCAGCCTTAGTTGTTGTCATTAAGTGAGGATTGCAAGAATTGTTAAGCAAAGACCTCATAGCTTCCAAGGCCATGGTTTCCGAATTCCTGATAACTTCCTCATTAATTTTGAATTGGACAATTATGTGACTGCAGGATGCTGTGGTGGCTGGAACCCCAAAGATCAATCATAGATACCACTGGCTCAGCATTGTTGCAAGTTCAAAAGATAACTGAATGAGTAATCCTTAAACGAGAACCAGCTGTATGTGGAGGAGACTTTTTGGAAAACAAAAAATTAATTCTATCTCATCATAGGATTAATTCACCAGGGGGTTTCAGAGGCACTGTTACATCATACAAAAAAACTAATAGTTACTGGTACACCCTCATACAGCTATCAGCTGGGTCCTATTTTCTGTCCCATCCCTATAAATGAATTATCTATTTGGGAAACATTCCAATTCCAATTAGCCCTTGCAAAAACACTTGTATAAAAGTCATTACTCTTGTCTATTTCTACTTCAACCATATAAAAGACTAAGCTTTATTCTAATAGGGGAAAGGGATTATTTTTCTCAGGATGCCAGGATTAATCTGTCAAACTATTTTGCACAATGGCCACTGACCATTTGACTTTAGCATTTATTTCATGAAACTTGGTTCCTAAAATGCATGTCAAAATGTAGGTTTTGAGGTCAATGATCACTAGTAAAGGAGCAACAGTTACATCTTGAATTATTTTCGGAAAATATGGAAAGGATAGTGAAATAATGACAGAATCTCCAGCAGATGGCCATTCAGCCCATTTAAAAACCTTGAAGGAGTCCACAACCTTCCCAACAATCTGTTCCATTATGAAAATATCTTCTGGGACTTCCTGCTAATATTTAGTTGAAATTCTTTTTATTTTCATTTTATCCCATTGGTTCAGTTCCTATCTTCTGGATTAACACAAAATAAAATATTTTCTAGTGTTACATCTTATTTTAATTTTAAGTCATTTTAAAGCATTTAATCACAAGCTGGCCAACTATGTATTTTTGTCTACTGTATTATCTGAACAGATCCTATGGTGCAATGTATCATGTGAATCCACAAAATTAGACTTAATGCAATAAAACATCAAGTTTATTTTGACATAGACTATTTTCTTTCCTCCAAGCTATTTTTCCCCATCCTCTGGAACTTCTCACTATATTGCAGTTGTTGGAAATTATGAGTATACGTGATCCTCCAAGTATTTTGATCTCATTACTTTTAGGTTGGTTTATGCTTTATGCTAAGCCATACAATGATTCATTTGGTTTTAGCTTAGGCTGTTGTGGTGAACTGTGGTTTATCATGGTTTAGTACAATACATGAACCAAATCATGATCTTTATTTGTAAAACTCAGAATTGATTTGAACTTGAAATAATGGTATTAAAGCAGTATAGATAAATCAGGTTCAGAGTAATATACTCTCAAAAACAAATTCCAGAAACTGGATATGGCATTGTGCTTCTACAAACTGGAAACTGGATATGGCATTGTGCTTCTACAAACTGAACCTTCCAAACTTTTAAAAAAAATATAGGGTCATGCATAGCATGTTGGAAATCTAATCAATTAGGTAGGTTTAATGCCTTATCTAATTAATACAGATGGGGATGTTGGCAGTATATACTAGATCAGGGGTGTCAAACTCACATCATCATATGACATATTGGGACTTCGCTAAACCAGGTATGGGTGTGGCCAGCATGTGACGCATCTGGCCCGCAGGCCAGGAGTTTGACAGCCCTGTACTAGATGAAGCTGAATGAAAACCCTCCTAGATACATTTGCCTCTTAAAAAAATAGGAGCAAGCTAGGAATGCAAAATATCTTTAAGCCATGGCCTATTCTTTAAGAGAATGCCATATAGACTAGATATTTCTGTTTCTACTTTTCTACTGATGTTGTACATATTAAAGGATTATATATTGTCATTCAGGTGAGACTTGTGTGGGTTGGATGAGAAAAATTGTATTTGCTGGTGGACATGTTCCTTCCAGTTCTTAGTGGTCAATGGATTTTCCTTAGGAACAGCAGGGCAGAAGGAAATCATTAAACTTTTCTCTCTATCTATCATGGCCATTATTCTAAGTGAAAATATATACCTGCTATTTTGTTACTGTTAAAAGTGTCTTTAGCTGAATTAGATTTAAATTAGAATTAGAAACAATCTTCATTTATAGTCCATAAGAAAATGTTTGAAGTTACTGAATTTTACTGTACCATATGTTGTTGGGTTTTAAAATATATAGTAGGAGCTAAATGAATGTGCTAAAGACTATTTTTCTCTGAAGTTCAGGTACTTCCTATACACGGTGACTTTCTGAGGTTTAGGTCTGAATTTAAAAAGGCTTTTTGTGTGCTATGAATTTAGATGCATAATTTCTTGGTCGGAATGGATGATATGTGAAGTTATCACTATGTTATTAAAATAATAGATTGCACAACTCCATCATGACTCTGAGAACTGTCCTGGGTGATCCAAGTTCTAAGGAAGGGTCTACAACAACTCGCCACAGCCAACTTCTTGCTGCCAGCTCACCATGGCGAACTTGCCGCAGGACAAGAATTATACTAATATCAAAGAAATGGTGGAATAGAATCATTAACGGATGCCAAAGGAGGGACAAAATGAAATGTGAATGACAAAAATTAAAATAATGTTTTAATTATTGTATAGAATTAAATTGTTGAGTTGGCCATGGCTAGTTGACCCTGGCAAGTTGCCCATGGCAAGTTGTCCAATTCTGCCCTGGAAGGTTGCAGATCATACTCTTCTCATTGTGTCTTAATGTATATTTTTAAGCCACATCTATGCATTAGGCAGGAAAGGGAACTCCTAAAAATAATTACACCACCACTTGATATTTTCTCTCTCTTAATTGCATTGGGACAGGAACAATAATATATAATCAGAAGATATATATTTTACTTATTTATAATCTACCTTTATTAATTTTTTAAAATCAATAATTCAAGAGGATGAATGTATCTAATACAATACTTCTTACTGCTTCTATTTTCCCACAACAACCATCCTATCAGGTGAGCCAATATTTATTTCAGTCTTTATTACATTGATCAGAATATCAGCCTCTGGCCCTGTAAAAGATGTTCTAAAAGTGTATTTTATTTCAAGAACATGTTAACACCATACATTAAAACCAGCCAAGACAGCACAGCTCCTCAACTGTGGGATAGCTATTGGAGAGCTATTAAGTCCTTGCTTTAGTGTACCTTCCAAAAAGGGTATTCTAGCCAAATGTAATATTCCCGCTCATTCTTCTTCATAAATGGAATAGTTAGGCTTGCTTTTCATTCGTACCCCTCCAGTTTCTAAAAGCAACTTTTAAGCAGGGAAAAAACCGAAACCCTGATAACACATTGCCTTCTGAAAGGCCAACCATGTGTAAGCATCCAAAGTTTGGAACGGATTTGTTAAAAAAGAACGGCAGGAAGGTTCTTCGCAGGTGCGATTAGAGCGGGAAGATTCAGGCAGATGCTACCTGAAAGCGATAGGGGGCGTGGCTGAGCCCCTTTCGCTGAAAAAGAACAGCTGGGAAGGAGACGGGCTTTTAGGGGGAAAGGCTGTGGGAGGAGTGCGCGCAGTGCAGAGAGGGTTGGCCGCCTTGGAGCTCGCATCATCGGCGCATCAGCGGAAAGGGAAGTCGGAGGGCGTGCACACCCCCTGCTCGGGCGGGCCCCTAAGCAAGCAAGGTGGAAGGGAAAGCTTTGAGCGCTGGATAGCCGATCTGGACCAGTCGGCCTCCCAGTCCAGGTTGCTGGCTGAAGACGCCTAGTCTTTTGCTCCATGCAATGCACCGCCTCCCTTAGCGCGATGCAACGGGCCGGAGGAGGAGCGGCCGCAGCAGCAGCAGCAGCCGCCGCCGAGCCTGGAGGAGGCAGTGGGAGAGGAGGTGACAACGGCGGCGAGGCGGTTGCAGCAGCAGCGGCCTCTTATCGGGTGCTGAGTCGCTTGCTGGGGTACGGCGGACCAGAGTCAGCTGCAGCTGGCTTGGGGCTGGGCAGAGGTGTTGTAGAGACTGCCGCTATTGCAACTCGGGATCGCGGCAGGGCGGGCGGGTTGCGGGGCTCGCAGCTTCTGGTCTTCCGCCCGGGAGAAACTGGGGAGACCTCGGCGGGGTCCCCAGCCGGCTGTCTGCCTCCGGCGCCGCCGCCACTGCCTCAGCCACCCCCGCCGGAGCTCCTGTGCGCTAGGCATCGGTGTGCTCTCCTAGATGCTCCGAAGGGCGAGCCGGGAGGGGGACGATGCTGGAGCGGAACGCCGGATGGCTTCATTTTCCCTCCGGGAGCCGGCCTGGAGTTACAGCTGGCGGCTCTGGGACTTCACCAAGCACCTCCGACGGTGCTGGGAGGGCTGGGCAAGCCTCCGGGCGATTGCTCCTGCATGAGCCTCTTGCCTCAGCCGGCGATGGCCCCGCCGCCCACTCTGTCCTTGTTGCCCCCGGGGGAGGAGACCAGCGACGCCCTGCTGGTGCTGGAAGCTCTGGGCCCTGACGAGGAGGACGAGGAAGAGACGGCTGCAGGGCAGGCCGAGCCCTCCAGCACGGAGAGCAGCCGCGTTCAGTTGCCCGCTGCAGCCGTCCCGGTGCTAGCTGCTGCTGCTGCTGCTGCTGCTCCTCCTTCGGCAGGCCCGGCACCTGCCGTTGCTACCCCCCGTCCCAGCTCTTCGGCCCCCTCCAGGAAAGGTTCCTTGAAGGTTCGCCTCAGCCGCCTTTTCCGCACCAAGAGCTGCAGTGGGCCATCCTGCAACGCCGGGGCAGCCGCTGGAGCTCGTCGGATCGGAGATAGGGAACTTCTACAAGCCGCTGCTGCCCCAGCCCCCTCGGGCACAGCAGGAAGCCTCCCCGATGTGTCTCAACCTGGCTACCGGGAGCAGGACTCGAGCAGGTGAGGAAGCGCTGGACCGCTAGAATATGGCTAAAGGAAGGAGTTGAACACCCTGATGTTCCGCTGCATCAATATGATAGGGGACAGAATGAAAGGGGGCATTAGGGTGGGCATAGTGGGTATGGAAACTGTTGCCTTGCAAGCATCTCCAGCACTCTTCCCTTTGGCTTCAGTTGTGGAATTGTCAAATACTTGGAGAAGTGTTTGATGCTTTAAAAAAACAAAACCAATTCAATCTTTGAACTTTGAGGCTTCCAGATCTTTTGGTCTGTAGCCCCAGCTAGCATGGCAAGTCCTCAGTAGTGCAGATATTGAAGGGAAAGTATCTCAAGGCTTCTATATTTTTTTTACACCTTTGACTGTTTTTTGTCCAGAGTTTGAAATGGAAAAGATCCAATTGTATTAGTGATGTATTGTCAAGCTGTTGGAAGGAATTCACTGACCATATTCTACCATCACTTCTCACTGCTTTGCCTTGTCCCATATTCAGTCTTTGGTATCTCAAGTTAAAAAAGATTCAGATTGCCCATAGAGGATTTATTTGGGATCTTGGAGTATTGCTATTAATCAGCATAAATGGCTTTTACAATTTTGTTGTCCAGTTGTAAAGAAAAGTAGTAAAACATTATAAATCTGACTTCCTTACATTAAATAAAATAGAAAAATGGATAGTTATGACTTTGCATCTGAATGCCAATTTCATTCTTGGTGAAGAATGTTCAATCCTGTTCAGTTCTTGGAAGACTTGCCTGGACCAAGTCCTTACGGTTTTCTTGCCAAGTGATTTGCCATTGCCTCCTTGGTAGAGCTGAGAGAAAGTGGTTGGCCCAAAGTCACCCACTCTGTGCCTAAGGCAGGACTAGAACTCTCCCTGTTTCTAGCCTGATGCCTTAACCTTTACACCAAATTGGTTCTTTGATTACATGTTCCTAATCCTTAGAAAATGGTCAGATCCACTTTCCCCAACTGTTTACAGATGTTGTCCTTGAAGAACCTAATATTAAAAAAATAATAGGAACCAAGGTTGTTTTACCACCTCTGCCTGTGGGATTGTGAGTGTAGTAAAATTGTAGTACTGGGGACTGACTGACTAGAAGACTTTTTTTTCCTTGCAAATTGCAGTATGTGTACATTACAAATCAGGGTGGTAAAAAGATAATGAAACATATGTCATAATGTCACAGTGCAAATCAGCCTTTACACTGGGGGGGGGGGGGTTACACATAAGTCAGGTGGTTTATAACATGCATTTTTTGTCATTTGTTACCTCCTGCAGATGTCTCTGAAGTGAATGAAGTTGGCTGGGACAATTTCTAGTAATTTTTGAAAGTATTTGTGATTCTGGGCTTGCTTTAAAAAAAAGCATTCATTCAGAAAAAGTGTTTTGCTCATTAAGTCTATGTCTGGTGCCTTCCACAGCTCTGAAATGTCAATAGATTAAGACAACCTATTACTATTTCTACAGGATTTCATATGGATTTTTTTTTCATAGGTTGACTTTGCCTAGTGACATAGTATTGGTTAGTTTAATCTGTCCACTTTACAGGTTCACATACCACTTTAAACTATAAACTAGCCACAAACTGAATTGCTCAGCATGCTTAGGGGAAAGGTGATGGGATAGTTTGTGGTTCAATAGGAAAAGATATTGAATTTTGAAAGGTGCTGACTAAATTTCCTGTCTCTAAATTAAGATACATACATAGAGTGACAGTATTCACTTGGATTAGTTGGATTTTTTTCAACAAAGTTTTCCATTTTGATTTTTATGCTCCTACATACGTTGGACTGCCATTTTCTTCATTCTCTTCCGTTTTGGCACTTACAGTTTTGCATTTTTGGAGGGACCCAGGTTAGCAGAGACTTCAATATGCTTAAATAAAATGTTTTTGCTTTGTTTAGCCCTGATTTGATCTGATTTGTAATCACGCTGATTCGAAATAGGGTTCAACCTGCATCTCCCACGTTAATGCTAAATACTTTGACCCAACATTTGTCATAAACAAATGTTCAGGTGCAAGAATTTGGTTATAGTGACTGGTTAATGCACATTCAGGCCGGTCCCTTATAATTCAGTGTTAAATATATATGATCAGGCACCTCACAATAAGCCTACAGTGGAGTCCTTCTTGAAGAATTATTTCCAGTTATGGCAGAAGAGATTGGGGAACAGAGGATTTGGGTAGCTCCCTTCTGCTCCAGTCAGCACTGCCAGTGTTTGGAGGTGACAACAATTATAAGCCAGAACCTCTTAAAAGAATCGCTTCTCTGTATTGAGGGAAATGACTAAGTGGGGCTGCTGAGCTCCTGAGTTCACTTTGAAAGGACCATATGTCCATTCCTGTGACCTGAGATCTCTTTCAATTCTTGGTTTGAAGAATTGTAACAGGGGCTGATCCTGGTATAATCTAGGACATATAAATAACATGGATAGGTTAAAAAAAAATCCTGGTAAATTAAAAAAAAAAGCTGCAAAAAAAGCTATTTTCTTAATTGTACGAGGGGTGGAATCAACTAATTTGGCTACTGGTTCGCAAATGTATTCGCTTTGCTCACACGTGCCACCTCTGCACATGCATAGGATCCTCCGTGCATGTGCAGAGCGTCAACAACAGGACGTGATGATGTCCGGGCGGGTGGGTGGAAGCTCCCGCTGCCTCCGCTACCGGTTCGCCCAAACCGGATAGAACTGGCTGAATTGCACCACTGAATTGTACTCACTCGTGTTTCAGTGCCCTCATACAATGATCATATTTATGAACATGCTAAACTATCTGATTACTACATCTAGAACTTTGCCTAGGTTGTGGGTCAAACTAAGATAATTTATTTCCTAGCTCATTTCATTCTGGGGTGTTATCTGGATCGGTAATTAGGCCTCCCTTCTCCTTTCTGGACATAGAGGAAGGAAATAAAGCAGCTATTAAAGTAATCTGCTATGGCCTCGTGTCTTTTTCTTCTATTTCCTTTTTCTGATTTTCTGATTTCTCTCTCTTTCTCTCTCCCTCCTCCCTTTCTCCCTCCCACCGTGTGTGTGTGTGTGTGTGTGTGTGTGTGTGTGTGTGTAATATGATGAGCAGAGGCAAACTGACTTTGGGTGTTGTGTCTTTTTGACATAGATGCCATTTCCTCTTTTTTCTTAGATAGCAAAATATCTTGGGCTAACAGTTTTGACTCAGAAGGCTTAGTGTTAATAGAAGTTTAAGCACTGGCTAAATAAAGAATTAATTTATTATGAAATCATCTATTAATAAAGCCATGCTTCTATCTGAAATTGGACTTCCAGATTAGCTAAACTGAAAGTCATGGAATGATTTATGTTCACCCATGACACTTTTTGGCTGTGTGTGCACATATTCACTCAAGTCGTATAAAAGTCTAGCAAAAATATTTAGTGTTTGTACTAAATTTTAAGTTTATCTTGTTTTTTGTTTTTTTTACTGTAATTATTTAGTGGGGGTTAGTTCGTACCTTAGTATATTTTGGACCTGCAAGCCAAAAAAATGAATTAATTCTTAAAATGTGTTATCTGAAATACTGTATTGGTAGCTACTGTGTGAAGAAGCATCCCTTAATAATTAAAATTACTAAGGCAAAAGACGTGTCCCCTTCCCCCCTTGCCAAAATCTTTGTTTTCTATGGAAATGGACTGGATGTTTATATTAGGAAAATGCATTTATTTTTTCTTTCTAGTTGTGGTGCTATATCTCAGATGACGTGAAGAATGGGCAATATTATTTGGCCTTAGGTTTAATTATCTTAAAAAGTTTAATAGATATGATGTTGTTTAAGCATAGCTGCCATCCTCCTTCATAGATGTGAGTTGAAATTCAGCAGTGTGATGTTATTCATTTGTGATTTAACCTTGGCTTTTTTGACATTTGAGGGAACTTAAAAATATATAGAGAAAGAAAAAGTAAAGCCACTTCTCAGTACATATGCTCAGTCCCACCTCTGCATTATAGAGGGTTTTTTAAAGTTGCTCTATAGGTTTTTCACTTTTTAATTGTTTTTCCCCTCTTTCGTGATAATAGAAAAATGGAACATAAATTGAAATAATAAATGGGCAGCCTGGTGTCCAAATAATTGCTCCTTTGGAACTAATTTCCTTCACTCTTTTTATAGGTATGGGGAAATAAAGTGAAGAATTTATGGTGTAATTGATCTTATTGTGGATGCAGGTAAAAAGAGAGGTAAATGCAGTCATATCTTTATTTATAGACTCTTATCTCTATTTTTGTAGAAAACAAAGACTGATGCGAACACAAAGTGCCTTTTCTCCAGTTGCTTTTGGTCCCCTCTTCACAGGTAAGTGTTGAACCTGGTGTTTCTCTTTCTCTTCCACTGTTATTGAAGGAAGCCCTATAGCCATGATGACGAACCTATGGCACATGTGCCACAGGTGACACATGGAGCCGTATCTGCTGGCACGCGAGCCGTTAGCTCCAGCACACATGCGCACACCGGCCAGCTGATTTTTGGGCTATCAGGGGGGCGGGTAGGCCGGTTTTGCCCTCCCCAGGCTTCAGGAAAGTCTCTGGAGTCTGAGGAGGGCAAAAAATAGCCCCAACGGGCCAACCCGAAGTTCGTTTATGGGGGTGCATTTGCATTATCGGTGCCGGCATGCATGCACGCTAGATTTTAAAAGCGTCTTTTCCTTCTTGATAGATGACATAGTTGGAATACAGAGAGCATACTATAATTCCAGATCCTAGGATATTACTTGGTCACACAGTTTTGCATAAACAGCACACATTAATCTTCCCAAGAAAACAGTTTTTAAAAAATGGATCAAATCTCACTGGATTTTGTTGTTTTCATTCTGAAATATCTCAAGAATTCGATGCATTTAGCTGAAAGGTCATAAGATGTTGATATAACTGGACAATATTAAGACCTGGCTTTGAGATTTGGAAGCTATCTGCCTTCTGTCTGTTAGACATTTAGCTATGGCTGTTCTTGAGTCTTTCTTTCCTTCAGCTTTTGCATATGTCTGAGGCAGTGATGTGTGGTGAGGTTTATGGCTGGCGAGGCAGTCCTCTCCCCTGACACCCCACTGACTAAAGCACTTTCTTTTGCCCGCCTGTGCCCACGGCAGCCCGTCTGAGCTGGCGGGCTGCTGCAGACACAGGCAGGTGAAAGAAAGTGACTTTCGCCCATCTGAGCTGGCAGGCTGCCACGGACACAGGCAGTCGAAAGAAAGCAAGCGCCGCAGGCTGGACTGAAGCCGGAGGTGATGCCCCTCCGGCTGGGTAAGGCGGGCTGCCCTCCCTGCCTCTCCTACCCCCTTTCCTCTCTTCACTCAAACTCTCAAACAAACAAACAAACAAACACACACACAGACAAAGTTGCACCAGGAGGATTAAGTTTGAATTCCTCCTCCTCCCTCCGACTCACACGTACCTTTTCCAGCTGTTTCAGAGAGAATTTCAACCCTGCTCTTGTCTGCCATCATGAAAAGAAAAAAAAGGAAAAAGGCAAGAGCTGAAGTCAGGCTGGGCTAGTTGTTACCAGAATCGCCATGGATGACTGCTTAACTGTTTAAAAAGCCTCTAAAAAACGCCCTCTACAGGAGGAGGCAGGAGAACGACGTGACTCATCTACGTCAGGAATTTTTCAGCTTTTACCAAAATGGCCGTGCATACCCTTATGGAGGCTTTCAGAAAGCTCATAGGGGCTGGGAAGGGCAGAAATGAGCAAAAACGGGTCGTTTCCCCCCCCAACCCACAGCAGCACTCTATAAGCCTGTATAAGGTTATGCATACATTTTTTTGACAAAAAACGGCCCTGTTTTTGCGAAAAATGGGCCGCTTTTTGCTCGCTTTTGACCCCACCCAGGAGCACTCTGCTAGCCCTCCCAAGACTATTCATGCCTTTTATTTGAAAAAGAACGGGCCCGTTTTCGTGAAAAACGGGCCGTTTTGGGGAGGTTTGCAGAGTGCAAAAACTTTTCCATTTCGGAAAGCTTTTTAGTTAGAGTGATTGATGAGAATTACATTGATCAAGTGCTGTGCCAGCAGAAACAAAGTCTTAGGTGCTGCAGATAGTCAGCAATTTCCTTCTCCAGCACATGGATAAATACACCTGGATACATCTACCTACCCACCTACTCTCTCTCGCTCCCTACCTACCTACTGTATTTCTCTCCCCCTCTACCTACCTACCTACCTACCTACCTACCTACCTACCTACCTACCTACCTACCTACCTACCTACCTACTCTCTCTCTCCCTACCTATCTACTTATTCATCTCTCTCTCTCTTTCTTTCTATCCCTCTACCTACCAAGCTACCTACTCTCTCTCTTTCTCTCTCCCTACCTATCTACTGTATTTCTCTCTCTCTTTCTCTCTCTCTATCCCTCTACCGACCAACCTACCTATTCTCTCTCTTTCTCTCTCCCTACCTATCTACTGTATTTCTCTCTCTTTCTCTCTTTCTGTTCCTCGAGCTACAGCCTACCTACTCTCTTTCTCTCTCCCTACCTATCTACTGTATTTCTCTCTCTCTTTCCCTATTTCTCCCTCCCTCCCTTTATCTACCTACCTACCTACCTACTCTCTTTCTCTCCCTATCTACGTACTGTATTTCTCTCTCTTTCTCTCCCTCCCTCTCTATTCTTCTATCTACCTACCTACTTTTTTTTTAAAAAAAAAAGCCTCTTCAAAACCTTGGTGTGTCTTATAACTCCGGTGCGTCTTATAACTCCGGTGCGTCTTATACTCTGAAAAATACTGTAGTTTTTAAGTGATTTTTGCCCCATTTTATGTCATTTGTTAAGTGAATTTGACTTTTGAGTGTCAGAAGGTCACAAAAGGTGATCGCATGACCCTGGGACATTGCAACCATCATAAATATGAAACAGTTGCCAAGGGTCTAAATTTTGATCACATGACCGTGGAGATGTTGCATTGGTTGTAAGTGTGAAAAATGGTTATAACTCACTTTTTTTGGTACTGTTGTAACTTCCAATGATGACTAAATGAACTATTCTAAGTCGAGGATTACCTGTATTTCCCCAGCCCAACTCACAAAGGCATTTTCTTAGATTGCCTTTGCTCTTTGTGGTTATAAACAAAAATTTGCTCATCAAATCTGTGTTCTTTGCTCTTTAAAGTTTTTGAAGACAAGCTGTGGATATTCACAAACATGTATGAAATACAACACTCTTCTGGGCCTTCAGATACAGATTGAATACTATTTCATAGTGCAACATTTGGCCCAGATATTCCCTTAGCAAAAATTGTTTCAGCAAGTTTGAAAGTCAGCGAAATCCTTAAGTTTAATTATTCATAAGCAAGGGAAGTGACCCTACTTATATAATGGCTTTTGGCTCTAAAAACGGCCCACAAGATAGCTTCATGAGACAAAGAATACAAAAAGATAACGATCTTTTAAGAGTTCAGCTGAGTTAAAATCTTTTGTTTTCAGTTAAATTCCTTAAAAATGAAATGACACATGTGACTGTCCAAAATCAAAGTAGCTTATTTTCCTTTGGAAGGGAATTTCATAGTCATTCTCTGTTTTATATTCCTTCTAAGCAATAATTTTGTTTGATATGGAAAGGTTTGTGAAAAGATGATCAACTTCTTATATCATCTGAAATACATAGTCCAGAAAGCAATCTGTTCACCACTTGTTTAACTGGTGATAGTTTTGGAACACTTTTCAAGAGTAGCCCATGTGTCTGCATTGTAGCAAATTTAATTAGGAATCAACCATGACATGCCTGGAGTCAGAGATTGCTCTGATATTAGACGTATGCTTCTGACATGAGCAATAGTCCTCAAATGTGCTAGGTGAAGTTACATTTTCGTTAGGCTCTAAAAGAGGTGGGATTCACTTACCTTCCCTACACATTTGGTTCGCAAATGTGAGCGCGCACGCCTTGTCTGCGCATGCGCACCACCTATGTATGCACAGTACTCGTGCATTACGGATGGGTGGAGTCTCCTGAAGCCGCTGTTACCAGTTCACCTGAACCGGAGAGAACTGGCTGAATACCACATTTTCTTTCTTTCTTTCTCTCCTCCCCCCTCTCTCTAGGTGAGACAGTATCGCTGGTAGATGTTGATATCTCTCAGCGTGGCCTGACGTCCCCACATCCTCCAACACCTCCTCCTCCTCCACGGCGAAGCCTCAGCCTTCTGGGTAACTACTTGTTTCTTTATCTGTTTTCTTTCCAAACTGTATTTCCACTAGCATCTTTCAGCCGAAGAAGACGATGGCCATTTTCTTCAGTCTTGAAATAATACTTTTGAATACAGGTAGCCTTTGTTTAGTGACCACAGTTGGGAATGATGGTTCAGTTACGGTCACTACCATATTTTTCATCTTATAACGCACCTTTTTTTCCTCAAAAAGAGGTTGAAAATCTGGGTGCATCTTATACATTGAATACAGCATTTTTTGCCTCCTGAAGCCCCCCCTCCTTCACAAAAATGGCCATGCATAACCTTATGAAGGCTTTCAGAGAGCTCTTGGGGACTGGGGAGGGCAGAAATGAGCAAACAATGGACCATTTTTTGCCCCCCCAACCCCCAGCAGCACTCTATAAGCTCCATAAGGATATGCATGCAATTTTTTTTGACAAAAAATGGGCCCATTTTTGCAAAAAACAGGCTGTTTTTTGCTCATCCCCCCCCCCAGCACTCTGCAAGGCCCCCTCAAGGCTATTCATGTCTTTTATTTGAAAAAAAAACCAGGCCTGTTTTTGCGAAAAACGGGCCGTTTTGGGGAGGTTTGCAGAGTACAAAAACTTTTTGTTTTCCTTTTGGAAAGCTCTTTAGTTAGAGTGATTGATGAGAATTACATTGATCAAGTGCTGTCCCAGCAGAAACAAGTCTTAGGTGCTGCAGTTGTCAGCGATTTCCTTCTCCAGCACATGGATAAATACACCTGGAAACATCTACCTACCTACCTACTCTCTCTCTCTCTCCCTACCTATCTACTGTCTGTCTGTCTGTCTGTCTGTCTGTCTTTCTTTCTTTCTTTCTTTCTTTCTTTCTTTCTTCCTTCCTTCCTTCCTTCCTTCCTTCCTTCCTTCCTTCCTTCCTTCCTTCCTTCCTTCTTTCTTTCTTTCTTTCTTTCTTTCTTTCTCTCTCTCTTCCTCCCTCTCTCCCTCTATCTACCTTCCTACCTACCTACTCTCTCTTTCCCTACCTACCTATTGTATTTCTCTCTCTCTCCCTCTACCTACCTACCTTTTTTTTAAATTTGCCTCTTCAAAACCTTGGTGCGTCTTATACTCTGGTGCGTCTTATACTCCGAAAAATACGACATGTAAACTGCAACCATGCTTATGATCTTTCTTTTGCTTTACAAACTTGAAAAAGTTGTAAATGGAAGTTGTAAAGTTACTTTTTCATTACTGTCATAACTTCATAGGGGCTATATGAGGCAGTCACTAAACAAGGACTACCCTTAAGAGGATTTCCTTGGAATTCTTTATGCCATCTCCTTTTTTAAAAAAAAATAGGAATTATTTCAAAACAGTAACTTGTATATATTCTCAGCTGTGTAACTATTCTGTTTTCTTTTTTCCTAGTCTCAAATCCATATTCAGAACTAAATTCCTCAGCTCCATAAATCATGTGAATTTGCATATTTTCCGTAATTCTGTTTCTGCTAGCCATGGGAAATGTGGCACGAAGGACTCTTTTTGTTTCTTTTTCTGAATGTTTGGCTCAGTACTCCCTTTGGTTTCTCAGATTCCCTCTAACATTTGCTCTGTCTTTTTTGTTAATCCAATGTGGACAGTAAGAAGATCTACTCATTTATGTCTTATAGTGGTTAGTGCTGCAGTAAAGTTATGTAAAGTGAATTATTTGTAATCTTGTGCTTCTGTCTTTAACAACCTTCATCTCTGAGCATTTGAAGCCACCCAGGGAACATTATTTACTTATATTGGAATAGAAAATATTTTATAACTAGAAGCATCAATAAAATTTTGTTTGCCCAGAGTTATGGAAGCAGTAGGACTGGAATTATTCATTTTTTAAAAAATATTAAGCTGGTAGGCTATGTTATGTTATCTTATGTTATATTATATTAATACAAATACAATGCATAATCTAATCTAATATCCAGAATAATTTTTTATTCTGCATATGTTGATAGATGTAAGTAGAAGCAGCACTGACAATACATCTTTTTGAATGGTGGCATTTAATCGCAGAGGTAGTATTCAGCCAGTTCCGCTACCGGTTCGCCTGAATCGGTAGCAGAAATCAGAGGTGGGCCCTGGCTCTATGTAGTTTTATTTTGTGATGTTTTTTGAGCAGAGTGCATGCACAGACGGGGCGCATGTGAGCACATTTTGTGAACCGTTAGGGAAGGTAAGTGAAAACCACCCCTGGCAACTAGGAATTATTACATAATTCTGTCTATGCATACAATTTTATTGATATTGAAGCCAGCAAAGATGAATGTTCAGGTGCTCAGAGAAAGAGAGCCTATTATAAACTTGCCTTTTGCTCTGTTTCTTTTCATATCTCCTGGACCGCTTAACCGCTTTGATTTTTGTTTTTCCTAGACGATATCAGTGGGACACTGCCTACATCTGTCTTAGTGAATCCGATGGGATCTTCATCGCTCCAGTCTTTTCCTCTGCCTCCACCGCCTCCACCACATGCCACTGGTCAGTTTAGCTTTGCTCTTCAATTCTTCCTGAATTTCTGAGTTGCTGGGCTTTTAAACTGAATTGCTGAATTTGGGGATTCAAGACAGCATCCACGGAACAGAATACACAAAATAATTCCATGAAATGTCAAAATAAATGCATTTTCTTTCCCTTTTCCAGAGGCATTTCCTCGGATACTGCCAATCAGAGCATCCGAAGCGGTACACAGTCAATCTGCACAGCACCTTCAATGCCCCCTTTATCGGCCTGATTCAAGCAGTTTTGCAGCTAGCTTACGAGAGTTGGAAAAAGTAAAGCTTTTATTTATTTATTCAGTTAAAAGTGCTTAAGCTGCTCCCCCCCCCCCCCCCCCCCCGATGATGCTTGATCTCTTTGAACACAAAGAGGTAAAGCCAAGAGGATTGACAACTGAATGGATTTGCAGTATATGCCCTACTGGTATGCAAGATGAAAACTGGTTCGAATGGATAAACTACACATAGCCTTGTGGTTTTGCTGTTTATTTATTTATTTTGTTTAGTACAGTGTCAGTTTGCATATTCAATGTAGATGAACAGGAGAGCACCCCAGGCAATGTTGGATCAATAAATCTTGCTTTATTAGAAAAATCTCCTCTGAAAAAAGGAATGAGCTGTGTTTCAACATGTCAAAGATGATTATTAGGTTTTTTTTTTGTCATCTGGAAGGAAATGGACAATGTTAATCTTCTAAAGTCAGGGATTGCCAGTTGCCTTGTTTGCTTGAAATTCTGGCAGGTCAACAACAGATTTTAGATTGGATAATTAGGCTATATTTTAGCATTCTGAGCATCTAAAATTGATTCTTTTAAAAAATATGCTCCCATGTTTGAATCTTTTTTAAAGTGTTGGAATAAGATTCTCAGATAAATTACTGAATCATATTTTGTTAAATCAGTGTGGATGGTACTGGGGCCCCATGAACTGGGAAGATGCCGAGATGAAGTTAAAAGGGAAGCCAGACGGATCGTTCCTGGTTCGCGACAGCTCTGATCCTCGCTACATTCTGAGCCTCAGCTTTCGATCACAGGGTATTACCCATCACACTAGAATGGAGCATTACCGAGGTGAGTGGAGCACTGGGCACCAAATTAAGGTGACTTCCTACTTATTTTGAAAGATTTTGCCTAGATTCATTTAATGAATTGTTGCGGAATGTGATTTTCCAAACCTGGATCTTTCAATGCTGGTATTGTGTCTGGTGGTTATCTTTTAACCAGTGGTTAGGGTGCAGTACTGCAGGCCACTTCAGCTGACTGTTATCTGCAGTTCAGCGGTTCTAATCTCACCGGCTCAAGGTTGACTCAGCCTTCCATCCTTCCGAGGTGGGTGAAATGAGGACCCAGACTGTGGGGGCGATATGCTGACTCTGTAAACCGCTTGGAGAGGGCTGAAAGCCCTATTAAGCGGTATATAAGTCTAACTGCTATTGCTATTTTATTTAAGTAACCTTGTGCAAAGCCAGTCTCTACAAACCCATATAGTACCTCATACCATAATGCACCTTTCTTCTTGGCTCAGGAACCTTTAGTCTGTGGTGCCATCCGAAGTTCGAGGACCGTTGCCAGTCTGTGGTGGAGTTCATTAAACGTGCTATGCTGCATTCCAAAAATGGAAAATTCCTTTATTTCCTGCGATCGAGAGTGCCAGGCAAGTGTGTGTGTGTGTGTGTGTGTGTGTGTGTGTCTGTCTGTCTGTCTGTCTGTCTTTGTATGTATTGGAGCTGACTCAGGCAGCTCTTAGATAATCTTTTGTAGCATTTATTAATCAAGATATAGAATGGCCAGCAATTATTTTTAGCTTTATTGGAAAAGAACATACCCCCCAAACCAGGGGTGGGTTACTGCCAGCATTGCTGCTGGTTCGGTGCGTGCGCAATTTTGCTCACACATTCTGTGCGCATGCACAGTTGCCCAAAAATAGATCTGCACATTCCACTTAAAAAGGGGAAAAAACACATGACGCCTGACCAGAAAACCAGTTTCGAGGTGTGGCAGGCCTGGGTCGCACTACCGGTTCGGCTGAATCGGACTGAACCGGTAGGAACCCACTCTGTCCCAAACAGTAAAAGTTATTCTGAAATATCCATCAGGAATTGGTCAGCGTGCACTGGTTTCCAGGAGAAATTATTCCAGGCAACAATTAAGTAGATGGAATCGAATTGTAAAGTAAAAGTGCTTCAGAGTGCTTGATATCTATCATTCCCGTACATTCCCATTGGACATTTTCAGCTGGTCTGCTGGTTAAAATAATTTGGGAATGTGGAATTGTACAGTAATTCTTCTTCACTTGCTTCAAAGGCTGAAATATAAGCCAAGGTTGAAGCACTTTTGTCCCTTCAATTGTTGGCTTACAGCTTTCATTCTCCTTGGCATTTGGCTACATTGCACTTGAGCGGAAGTCCCTCCCCCAAGCAGCAGTGAATTAATCTACAACTTTTGACACAGAAGTTATGCATGATTCATTGACCCAAAAGTTGTTCTTCTAATTCATCTATAAAAATTGGCATCATACACAGCTCAGATTATTCAGTTAGAGAAAGATGCACCAAGTAAGCAAGTTTCACATCTGTAAAGAACTTGAATGTACAAGGGGAAACGAGCAAAAGTCAAATTCACTGAGTCACAATATTTTTTTACACTTAAGTCCTTGACTCAAAACAGTTCATTTAGTGACATTGGAAGTCACAATGGCACTGAAAAAGATGACTTTTTTCACACTTATGACTGTTGCAGTATCCCCATGACCACGTGATTTATATTCAGATGCTTGAGAACTGGTTCATATTTATTATGATGGTTGCAGTGTCCTGAGGTCATGTGACCATCTTTTGCAACCTTCTGACCAGCAAAATCAATCGGAAAGACAAATGCACTAAACAACCTACTTCAGTGAAGGCGAACCTTTTTGGCATCCAGAAGAGTAGCTGCCCAGGGCGTATGTACGCCCCAGAAAATGAAACTTCCGGTTTCCAGTGCGATATGCACGCTAGCCAGCTAGTCTTCCTGTTACTGGCGCGCATATACATGCGACGATCAGCTGGCCGGCATGCATGCTCATGCCGGAAAACGGAAGACCAGCTCTTCCAGTTTCTGGCACTGCTGCACCCACAAAGGCCAGCTGATCATTGCGCACACATGCGCACCAGAAATCCAGAAGAAGAACAGGTGACGCTGCATATGCCAGGTGACATGGCTCCGTGTGCCACTTCAGGCACGCGTACCATACATTTGCCATCACGGACCTAGTTACTAATTTGACAACTGGAGTGATTCACTTAACAAATGTGGCAAGAAAGATTGTAAAAAATGTGACAAAACTCACTTAACAAATTTCTCACTTAGCAACATACATTCTGTTCTCCATTGTGGTTGTAGGTCAAAGTCTATCTATACTTGAAAACCATAATGCTAATGCTAATAATAACAACAACAACATGTCAGTAGCAACAGCAAATGCCACTTATGTAATGAGAAAGATGGAACAGTGGGTTGCCTTATTTATCAGTGGCTGCAGCAAAATCCCACAAATTGATTATCTACAATGTCATGAACCAAGTTGTCAAAACCACCATACATTGGAAGCTATTCCAGAAGTTTGCATTTGAATACAGCAAAAATGACTGGGAACATCAAATTGACAAAGTTCTTGGAAATGAACAGGTCAAGATCTTGTGGGACTTTTGAATCCAAAAAGACAAGACATCTGGCCCACAATACGCCTGACATCACTATTGTGGAAAAGAAAAAAAGTCTGATTCATTGATATTGCAATACCAGGTGATGCACAAATTGAAGAGAAACAGCTAGAAAAAAATACCACAATCTGTAAATTGAAGTTGAGCGATTGTGGAAGAAGAAATAATACCAATAGTAATAGGAGCAGTTGGAGCAATACCCAAAGGGGTTGCCTAGATACATGGAAATTTTGAACTTATTACACCTGAATATTCTGCCTTTGCAACAACAACAACAAAAAAACCCAACACCCTACTTTACTCGGCCTATATACTTATATGTTATCTTAATAGCTCTTATGTCCTTGGTTAGAACTTGAACTGTTAAGTTTTTACCAGTCTCAGACTGTGAATCGAATTGAATATTAAATCGATGATCATGGTGAAGAAGAAGAAGAAGAAGAAGAAGAAGAAGAAGAAGAAGAAGAAGAAGAAGAAGAAAAGAAGAAGAAAGGAAGAAGAAGAAGAAGAAGAAGCAGCAGCTGCTCTCAATGCTAAGAGTCACTTGTTAAGATGGGAGGCATACAAATTGAATAAACTCAAGCCCTAATTATAGTAACTCATATTTAAATCTTACTTCTCTCTCCCATCCAAATAGCATAATGGACTTTTTCTCAGTGGGAGAAGCACCTTTGCCTTGCTATAGTTATGGAATTTACTGGTCTTAAGCCTTTTAGTTCTGGCCTTGTTTATTCTAGCCCTCAATAAGTAAAGGCCCAACATAAGGCTGTATGGAGTCAGGTCTCCACCATTGGGCAGTACAGTGATTAATTTAGAGAGCAGCTGTTTTCCCTTATCCTGAGAAAACTATTTCTCAATTGTTGCTGTTTTCTTCTAACCTCTATGTCCTGCTTTTTTTCTTTCTTTCTAATTTGCAGGTCTCCCTCCAACTCCTGTCCAACTTCTCTATCCAGTCTCTAGGTTCAGCAATGTCAAGTCGCTACAGCACCTCTGCCGGTTCCGGATAAGGCAACTGGTCCGCATCGATCACATTGCAGAACTCCCACTTCCCAAGTAGGTTCCCCCCCCCTTTTTTTTTTGCTTTGTGTTCCTTTCAGATCTCATTGGGTAAACAATCGGATTAGCTGCTTTATCCAACACACGGTAAAATTAGTAGTGCCAGTCAGTTTGCCACCACATTAAAAAAATACAATAGTTACTTCTTTGTTTTAATGGAGAGGTTCTGGGGTGGCGTATACATAAAACAGTGGTGGGATTCAAATAATTTAACAACCGGTTCTCTGCCCTAATGACTATCTGGGTAGGTGGGGCTCGGTGGTCATGTGACTGGGTGGTCATGGCCAACTCAAGGTCACTCAGGTCGATGTGCGCTTCGCCTTAGCTGTTACAATGTAATAAGGGTTAACCCGAGAGGCGGTTTCTGTAAGCAGAGCAATAAAGACTAGGCTAGAAAAAACACTAGAATGTTTCCTCCCTGCCTTACTTACAGGATTATCCCTGTAAAGTGGAAAAAACAAAAGGAGATTTATTCTAACAATCAGTTCTCTGAACTACTTAGAAAGTTACCAACCCGTTCTCCTGAATAGGCCTAACTGGCTGAATCCCACCACTGACATAAAACAGAAGTCTTCAAAAATCCTGTTCAAAATTCCTGTTGGAACAGGCTGTTTTGACCTTGCTGTTTGAAAGTTGTTTCACTCTGAAACATTGTTAGAAATTTCACACCAGGGTTGAAACACCTTCAGAAAGGTTATGACCACCAATGAAACAGGAGAAAGAAAAATGATAAGTTTCTCAAGGAAAGGGAACCAGGAATTAAAGAAGTCTGGCATCTGTATATGTTGCAAGCTCCAAAACGTTCAGGATTTAAAACCCTTTCCTTTAAAATCTCCTTATACTTTTGCAAACTCTCATGTTAAAATGTAGAATGCAGTTGTTCTTGGCCATTTTCATACACTCAAACATCTCTGCACAAATCTGTAGACGTTGGGGAATGTTACAAACTCAATTTTTCCGGACCCCCCCTAATTAAAAGAGAGAAAAAGAGATTCATCTGCCTATTTATTTGGAATGTCCGTTCTGTTTTCTTGGACCTCCAAAATTTACTGGAATCTCCTTCCCGCTTCCCTGACCAGGCCTCTGATCGCATACATTCGCAAGTTCTACTACTATGACCCTCAAGAGGAAGTGTACCTCTCACTGAAGGAGGCCCAGCTGTTTTCCAAACAGAAACAAGAAGCAGATTCCTCTACGTAGGGAGAGTCCTTATCTATCATGCTGCTGTCACTGATGGTAATATAGTGTTGTAAATTAGAAGATTCCTGTTTTCTCTCTTTTTTTCTCTCTCTCTCTCTGAATCTTAAAGAGTTTTAGTTTGATTGTCCTTTCATATCCTGTACTGGAAGCTTTGCATATACTCTACATTAAAACAATATATAGTTTCAGATGTGTAGTTAAACACAGTTGTATTCCTAGGTAGTCCTGGACTTAACAACTGACTTAATAATTGAGACCAGAATTTCCCTTGCTAAACAAGGGAGATGTTAAGAGAGTCATGCTGATTTTACAACCTTTCTTAAGCAAATCACTGCAGTGAATTCACTGTGAATTCAGCTTCCCACTGACTTTGTTTGTTGGAAGCCAGCTGGGAAGTTCGCAAATAGCGATCATACGACCCCAGATGCTTCAGTCCTTGTAGTAAATACATGGTAATTGCCAAGGACTTAAATTTTGATCACGTGACTGTGGGGATGCAGCAACTGTTATAAGTGTGAGGACTGGTGGCAAATTACTTTTTTGAATGCTACTGTAATTTCGAACAGACATTAAACGAATGGTTGTTGTTTGAGGACAACCTATATTTGCTCATTTTCCATAACAGAAGCCTACTCATCTGCTTATCAAAAGTTTTTCTTGAATCAGTATAATGCAAGCTTCCCTTGGTAACTTTGGATATGTTGAAAGGCTTACAATAATAAGAGCTAGAATGTGCATTTTGAATTTTAAAGCGAAGTGAATATAAGAATTCAAAACCAGTCCGCAAGTACCTGTTATAAGTACAGACCACATCTAACATTGTAATTCAATCTTGGATATGCAAAAAGAAAGAAATGATACATTTTTGTCCTTAACTATGTCTAAATTTATGGAGGGGGGGAGGTTTTACCTTCCACCCATCTTTCTATTTCCCATCTCCAAATTAGGAAATGGGTCACCAGTATCCTGTAGCTGGGGAAGTTGCACTGGAAAAGACTCCTGGTGTTTCCTTTCTGGCTGTCTTGGGCCTCCGGAAAAGAGTCCCAGGCTTGAACAGAAGCACAACTGTGCACAGAAACGGGCACCATGACCCCAACTGGTTCCAAAAAGAAGTTGGAATCCACTGAAGCTGGACTGTAGGCTCCTGAAAGGATGAAGAATGTTATTTTTCTTGTCAAATTTCTATTTTTGGGGTGTTTAATTTTATTTCCATGTTTTCCAACATGGGAAATTGTGAGCCAGTTTAACGTTTTGTTTACCTTTTGGCATTCGGGGATGTGGAGGGTCAGATTGCCACCATCTCCAAGATTTTATGAGCAAAACCTGCTCCCAGTTCCAGTGTCTTTAAGAATGCTGCTTTTATAAGAAGGGCCTGAACTCAAGATGCATTGAGTTCAAGCTGCATAAAATAGTTGCTTTGGGAGGGTGGAGCTTTTCTTTACCGGAGGTATGTCAGCTGAAGCTGGATGCCTGTCTGTCATGGGATTGCATTGTGGGTCCTGCACTAAGTTGGATTTCGCATATACTCCCTGTTCCATTCCACCTTTGGAATTCTGGAAGGCCAGAATTCGGGTGGTTTTGGACAGGGAGGCAAAGAAGAGTAAGTCGAAATACAACTTCTTGCTCAACTTTGAAAAAAGTTGGATAGCATTTTGGGTTGAGGGGAAGGGGGATGGGAAGGTACCAGAATATAAGTTTGATTAAGCAATGGAAAATTAGCCAGATTGGGGAAAATTGCTTTTGCCTTCTGTTTGAATGCAAATGGGACACGGGTAGCAATGTGGATGGTTTCCACTACAGAGGCCATCAGCCTTTGAAAATGGACAGATCTCTCCCACTTATTTTATTTTGCCTTTCTTTCCACTATATTAACACTGGAATTCATCAACACTGTTGTAGCTGTTGTGAAAACATTGGTATATCCCCTTTAGGCAGAAATGATTAGCTGAAGTCAGTCCCGGTGTTACATGGGGCGTCAACCTCTTGCCCTTCTCAAGAATGGAAAGCCAAGATGGCAAGATAGCAAGAGGCTTAGATGAGCCAGAAAATAAGTTATCAAATAAAAAAGGAAGGTTTTTAATCAAATAAAAAAGGAAGGCCTCTGAAATCTTCTTAATGTGAGGCAGTAAATTTTGAAGCACCTTAATCCTATATCTTACTTTGAGGTTGAGATAAAAAGTCAGGAGTAGAAATTCATGATCCTCACTTTTTCTCTAAGCCCAGAAAAATCACTTTTTGGAAGAAAGAATTGCCCCAGCAAAATTCAAACCATCTCTCCATTATTGAGAAGTATTTGCAACATCCACAAAATACATTGCCCTCTTTATATGTGATAAGTCTCTTGCATATGGTAGTTTAAGGTATTTGGTGTAAATTTCTTGCTGACATTTTTGAAACCTGTGGTAACTTAATAATTTATTATAATTTATTTATTGTTGTTAGGTTGAAAAGCTTGTTTCATATTCTTGAACTCATTTGTCTTGGATTCAGCCTCTATTCCCTGAAATTT